ACTATGGATCCGACAAAAAACCCAATTCAATATTCACAGCCACGCGTAATTTGATTTCGTTATAAAACGATCTACATTAAAAATAATTTGAATTGTGTATCTCACAAATAATCAATTCCTTAAATACAGATTCTGGGGGGACGATTGCCCCATCTCCCCCCTAAAATACGCCCATGCAATAGACTATCAATAAAATATTTTTTCGGAACAAAACATGTAAGGATTAGTAATGAAAAATGATGTCATGATGATAAGCAAAGAACATGAAACGTTTCAATTTACCGAATTAAATAATAACATTAAAGATAGTAAAACATTAATTTATTTACTTATCCTATAGGCTATAACAGGGGTGGCAAACCTATGACATACGTGTCAAAGGTGGCACGTTGACCATATTTTAATAGCATCCACAAAAAATTGAAATTTTTCAAAATTGTACACATAAAAAAAAAGAAAAAAGTATGGTCTTTATAAAATTTTGAAATTATAAGAAATTCAAAAAAACAAATTATATATAATTTAAAAATTACAATGTTCCTTATGCTTATTTTTTGTCAACTTTTGTTTGTGAAAGCTTATTTGTCATAATGAATTTAATTAAATCGAAGGAAAGAAATGTTTTTACCAATGAAACAATTGCTGCTTATGTTTTACTGAGAATTACTAAAATTTAATTAAAATAATTTAATAAATCTGTAAATTTATTTTGATTCTTAGAATTTTCTTTGGGCATGGGAATGATTTTCAAAACCTTAATTGGAAAAATTTGGCACTTGAACCAAAAAAGGTTCACCACCACCACTGGGCTATAAGTTATTTATCAATAGGTTTAATGAAATAATAATATAAATGTCTATTCACAAATATCAGTCACGATATGATTCAGTTCCGGAAAATTGGGTCAGTCTTAGTTATGGAAAATAACTCTTCGCTAAATTTATATTGCGTCATCTACACTTATCAGTTTTCTATACGAATCCGATCTGTCGGTATCCGTTCAGTCACGGATTTGAGAATTTTTAAATTTTTGTCTACGATATTTTGTTTTGAAGGACGAGAATTGTGGGCCAAATGGTTGACGAACAACTCATCAAATGTGTTCGACACTATGAAGTGCTGTACGATCTTTCAAATTCAAAATATATGGACATGTTTGGTGTCAAGAACTCTTTTTTGCCATGCTCAAGCACCCAATTTCGTTTCTTTGGTTTCCTCGTCCAAAATGATCGCGATAATACATAATTCTTCGTCAGTGAAATTTGCCATATTCACAATGTAATTTTAATATTATTAAATTAAATAAACAAAAATATGCAAAAAAAATATTTAATACGTTATGGGTAAAGGCGAGTTTGGTACAACAGACTCAACTGATCCGATTTCTCGGAACTGATCGGTTTCGGTGACTGACATGTGTGAAATACACTTGACTGATCAGTCAAAATAGTTGGTGACTTGACTGTCTCTGATTGGATACGACACCATCTCGTGACTGATATATGTGAATAGACCTTAAATCTAATTAAATAAATACTAATTAATTTAATATTTTACAGAACCAGTGTTAGGAAAGTTTCTTTTAAAAAGGAACTCGTTTCCGTTCCTCGTTCCTACTGTAAAAAAGGAACTCGTTCATGTTCCTCGTTCCTGACGCAAAAAAAGAACGCATTTCCGTTCTTTTTTAAAAAGGAACGCGTTCCCGTTCCTTTACACATTTTTTACGATTTGAGTGGTGGTCAATGGTGTTTTTTACGAACAATTTTTAAGTCAGAAATAATCAGTTAATATTATTTGTACTTTGTTATCATTTAAATTTTTAAACCATTATGGCATGATTATCACAGTAACATCGTTATCGTATATATCACAATCATACTTATATTATCATATTATTCATATTATACCTTGTATGCTATAAATCTCGAACTAAATTAAAATTTAAAATATATCAACGATATCTAGTTTGTTCGTTTTACTATTTACTAATGATAAATTAAGTGATACCAAATTGCCAAAACTAAATATATTCTAGAAAATATTATCATTAAAAATAACTAAATTTTTTTTTTTTTTTTCATTATTTGAGGAACGGAAATTTTCTTTCAAATTCCTTAAAAATAAGAACTCTTTCCCGTTCCTCGTTTCTATATTTTAAATAAAACACGTTACTATAAAAGGAACGCGTTCCTTCCCAACACTGTACAGAACTTATTTATAAAATCATAAAATTGTATCTCAAACAAGATTTTGTACTCAAGATGATCCATATTACTTGTATAGCATACGGATTACATAGATAAGCAGAAAATATTCGGAGTCATTTTCCTAGAGTTGATAAATTAGTAGCAAAAGGAAAGCAAGTATTTTTAAAAGCACCTTTGCGTGTTTTATTTTTTATGACAGAAGCTCCCGGAGTCCCTCTTCCTCCCAAACCTGTACTAACACGTTGGGGTTCTTGGATTGAAACTACTTCTTGTTACTACCAATATTTTAAGCAAGTTCGAGATGTTATGCAACACTTTGATTCTAACGATGCTGTATCTATAAAAGAATCTCGAACCCTTCTAAATGAAATTCAATGGAACCAAATTTGACTTTTATACATTTAAATTATGGGTTTTTTCTATCAACCATAACTAAATTAGAATCACAAGGAGTATCATTAACTGATTCAATATCAACAGTAATGTTTACAAAGAATAAATTGGAAAAAGTTGCGGGTGACGTTGGAATGAAAATAAATACAAAATTTAACCAACTTTTAGAAAAAATGATGTGTTTGCGATAATACTAAAAATTTTGAATGGAGAAAGTTCATCAATGAATGGTTTACCAGAATACCTAACGGGAAATGATTTAAAATTTTATAAATATGCACCAGTAACATCAACAGACGTCGAAAGAAGTTTTTTTCGGTACAAAACCATACTGGCTGACAATCGGCGATTATTCGACGTAGAAAATATTAAAAAAACATAAGTTGTGCAATGCAATAATTTATTAGGTGAGAAAAAAGTTATTTTAAAAATATTTTTGTATTCATATATTTTATATTTATTTTAAGGATAAATCTAAAATTCGAGATTGAAGAAAACTATACTAACAATCGGCGATCATTTAACGTAAGAAATATTTAAAATAAAATTAATTGTGCAATGCAATGATTTTTATATTTCTTTTATATTTAATTTTTTATTTTACTTAAATATAATTTAATTTTTTTGTGCATATTATCTTGCATATTTAATGCATTTTTCCAATTTTACCTCCTATAACTTCTCTGCCCTAATTATTATGCAAATCGGTTGATGATTAGACGCGATCAGGATCACGTTAGTCTACGATGTCGTGAGCTTTCTCATGGTCGACATGTATGTAAAGATAGAGAGCGAACGATTTCGATACTTGCGATTCGATTAAAAAAAGCTGCGTATGGAAGATTCTCAAAACAATTGTTAGATATTAGTGATGGGAAAATTACTACAGATGAAACGGGATGCATAAAATTATCGACCGATTTCTGCACAATCATTGATTCGCAAGATGATCTCATTGACCAGATATTTCACAATGTACACAGAAAATACACAAATCATGGGTGGCTGGCAGAAAGAGCAATTTTAGCAGCAAAAAATGTGGACGTTAACGAATTTAATTTCAAGATACAACATTTGTTACCAGGAGACTGGTGTCATACAAATCTATTGATACATTTTGCGATGCTACTAAAGCTGTAAATTATCCAACAGGGTTTTTAAACTTATTGGATTTACCAAGCAAGCTCCCACATAATTTACAAATGAAGGTTGGATCTCCGGTTATTTTGCTTCGGAATTTGAACCCACCACGCAGGGCCGGTTATAGGCGTAGGCAACGTAGGCGCAAGCCTACGGAGGCAAAATTTATATTTATATAGAGGCGGTATATAAGAAAAAATTAAATATCTTATTTTTCACGTTTATTTTAGATTTGAACATATTTTATGAGAATATTATAGATATAAAAATCCAAAAAACAAATAATTTTCTTTGAATGTAACTTACTAATAATATCATTATCATTTGTAATTTTTGTTTTTGTTGATGTATTTGACACTAAAAAAACTTTGTGTTTCATAAAACGATCTAAAGATCCAACCAACTGTTATATTTGTTCATCTTTTTAGCTTTTAATTTTCTTTTTTTACTTTTACTCGTAAAAGCCATTTTAAAATTTAACACTTAAAGAATAAATTATACAGGTACGACTTACCGAAGCTCGGATTATGATAATTTGGGGCCCATAACCATAATCAAAATATTGATGAATCACACATAAATATATTTCAGAAACAAAAAAAAAATTATATTCGAATTTATAAATTTATTTCTTACTTTTTTAATACAAAATAAAAAATGTTATTTATATAAATAATTTTTCTTTCTTCTTGGGAAGCAAACCTTTTAATTATATCATCGATATTAATTACTTCTAAAACATTACTCTCTTAACACAAAACCATAAAATTATATAGTATTTTATACTTGTTTTTTACGAAATAAAAAAAAAAAAGTTAAAAAAACGAAAAAACTTACTATCCACTAGGGGCCTATTATTGTTTGATATCCGTTGTTGGTCCGGGACCATAGCTCCCTCTACCCCCTTAATTTGGGCTTGTATATAACATAGTTAGAGTCTAACACAGTTGCAACATGGCATTAATATTTTAATTTTTACTATCCATTTTTTATTTTGTGGATTGATACTGGTAGCTACGGGTCACATGTTTGACATGTCTGCAATATGATATTTCAAATTTTAACCGAAAAAATCTTTAAGCTTTCAAAATCAAACTTGGATTTATGGATGAAAAATGTCTGAGCTTCCACCCCTAAAAAATTGCTATCAGGAGCAACTATTAAGTCATCTCACAAATAACTTTGTAACATTGTTTAAACTGTCGAACATTAGTTTACTTAAATATATTAGAAAAGTCAATAATATAAATATAAAATTAATTATTTTTTGCTTTTGATAAAGTTATCAAGTTCTGCATCCAATTCATTTTTGTTTGGCACTTTTTTTTTGCTGTTCCTGCTACCTCTACTCCCACGCCCTCTGGAGTTACCATGAGTATAGCCTCGGTTATCTCTCACCCCTATAAGGAGAAGAATTTGAATTATAACTATTATAATTTAATTTAAAATATATATTATTAAATTTTAAATAAATATATTTACAATATATTTTATATTGTAAATAAATATATTATTCCACAGTGAAAATAGTAACATACCACCACGAGTACCTCGTCCAGGCAATGGTGCTGGTCTACTGAGATGAATAACTAGGTTGGCGATAGTTGACAAATCAGTTGCAAATTCAATATTCGCAGAGCGACCTTAAATAATCAATAAAATTAATTAACAATGCAATTATAAAATTATAAAATATTTAAAATACATACCATCAAGTGGTACATTGTTGAAATGACGTACTGCTTTTAATGCGGCATTTTTTCTGTCAAATACAACATCAGCTGTTCCTAAAGATTTACCAGATATATCATAATGAACTGTGGCAGTTTTCAATGGACCAAGCTCATCGAATAGCATCTGTAAAAAAAAGTATTAAAACTAATATATAACACACAAATTAATCAAATTGTAACATCCAAGCCAACACAGAACATTCATTCACAAGACAAAAGTTAAAATATTCTTAAATCCAGAAATTTATCAAGGAATATACAAGAACCTATAGATTATTTATTTTAAAGTCACAAGTTACTGAGAATAATCGACTGCAGCAATTGCTTTTAAACCATAGAGTAATATCATTACTTTGTAATAATTAATGCACTGTATAGCTTCAGAAGATCAATTGTTTTTAAGACGATGAAAGCGTTGAGGCTGGTACTTTAAAAAATCTTCATAGAAAATTGTTTTCTCTTAATTTATAATCTGACTAAATTAATTACAAACTCTTGCAAATTATCTTCTTAAAATTATTGGAGTATCTTCTCAATTACATCTCCTATTTAACTTATCTTTATTTGTTTGTATTTATTCGAATAATAGATTTTTTTTATTTTTAATGTTTAATATTAGTATTTGTTTCAGTAAAAACATGTTTCAACACAAAATTTTTCTTCGGATAGTTATGTTTTAATAAATAAATAATCCTTTAGTTTTTTTTTTTAATAATTATTTTTATACTTATTTTCATCAAATATTATTTATATATGATATAATTAATTGTAATTCATAATGGTTATATAAATTGTTATAACCGAAGATTTAAATATACTAATTGTTATAACTTAAGTATATATACTCAGTATATTTAAATCTTCATTCCTTTAACATAACAATATATTATCTTCTTTGTGATGATCTTGAAATGTCTGTAGTTTCTTTTTCATTGTTTCAGTAAATTTATTGAATACAACATATGAAAGAATTAAAGAGCGCACATCATAAAAGAACCATTTAATTTAACGATAAAGACAACAAAAATCAACAATATCTCTTAAAGATATTAATAATCAAGAAAGTTACACAATAGTCATTAATTATTGAGTTCCCAATAACTTTATTTTCATACCTCAAGTACCACAAAGTCATTAAAATAAAACATTACAGTTTAAAAATGAATGCTCAGAAAATAGTATTTCATTTATAGACATGTTACGAAATTATTTATCCAATACAAAGGAAGTTTTTAATTTATAAAAAAAATAGCCTAATGGGATTTAATAAGCAAGAACACATATTTTACAACTGTGTTAATATCAACAGCTACACTAAATGTATAATTTTGAATTTATGTATCAATTTATGACAAATATTAATGTTTAAAGATGTAGATGTATATGTTGTTTTGTAATTTTCGAGTTTCACTGTAGATTGAATAATAGATGTGGTTGATGTAGTATTGAATGCTGTTTGTTTCTAAAACTTCCCAATTAATGCAAATAAGACACTTTCTTAATAAAAAATAAACTGCTACAAATGTTGTACTCATACAATTTATTTTGCAAACACATTGTGCATTAATTTAGATAGTTGTCAATTATTTAATGAAGCACTTGTGACTATCATAGTAGCTTAAGATATAATCATAAATGTAACGATATGGAAAATGTCAAGCTCACCAACTCAGAAATGAGTTACTATGTAGTCAGAAGCTTATACTGAATACTGTTCCCAGAATAAAATTTAGGTAAGAAAAAATAGTTTTTTTTTCTTATTAGAGTTGTAGTGATAACCGAATTCTTTTGTAATAATTTATCTTGAGTAGCCAGGTATAGAAGTTAGAAAGAGAAAACATAGTCCATGGGTCGTTCTTGGATGGTTGTTAACACAAATGAAACCCAGACCTTGAGCCATAAGTGGATCTAACATGTGGCCAACATTCTATCTAAGTACCTTCAAGCTGCAGTCGGTTGAAGATACCTGGAAAAATAATGTTATCTATTTTATTTCGTATTGATAATAAAATGGAACCTAGTTTTTTTCAGTAAAACACATATCAGGAAATCTTTCGCCTTCTATTTTAACCTATCAACATAAAATAGTTTTATTTATATTTTCATGAATTGAAAAATTATTATACTAGTTTTTTATAACATATACTTATAATGTATTAACAATTAATATAAAAATCATTCAATAATAAAACTCTTTTTTTCTTCTTAAAACATCTTGTTCACTAACTCAAACACTATTATAGATAATGATACTAAAAATATATATTATTAAGAATATTTATTTTTTATTTATTTTTTGTTTTTAATATTTCATACTTAAAAACATTTTTCCCAAATAGTAAGTTTAATATTTAATTATAAGTGAATATGGAGACTTATAAAATTTAAATAATTTACAAAAAAAAAAAAAAAAACCATATTAAAATGAATATTTATAATGTATTTAATTAAAATAAAATTCGGTTAGTAGTTTCATTGGCTTTTCATAGTGATATTTATTGCCTAATAAATGTATAGAACTAAGATATATTGTACCTAATTGACTATACCTTAACATAAATATCAATATAAATAAATACTTACATTAGATCTAAAATTATCAACACTTATGTAAAACAAACATTAATAAGTGATAAAAAGACATTAATTGAAAAATTCCTAAAATTTTTATTCCAACCTGTATATCTGTAGATGTAATTCCAAAGTCCAAGTTTGATATAACAATTTTATGAATATTAGTAGTTGAAAGACCACCTCTATTTTGCTGTCTTTTAGGTCCTTCATACATATCATGGGTCCATGATGCATTTGCATCGCCCTAAATAAAAAATAAATTAAACATCATACATTTTTTTTATTATGTAAAATTCATAAATATGGTATAAATATAAAATTAAGTACTACTGAACCTATTCATTAATTTAAATTAACACAATGTATTAATAATAACGTTTAAATAGTAATACAAAAAAAAATGATAAAAAACTTCAAAAAAATTTCTTTTCATAGTTTTATTAACTAATAATAATAATAGTAATAATAGTCATAGAAATAGTAATAAAAATAGTTTTACTAACTGAATTTCTATTAAAAGATTATTTTGTAACGGTGAAGTACATAAGCGCCAAAATGAGATAAGAAAAAAAATCATATCGTACAAAAGCGTCAAAATCGTAGGTACCTATGAGCCTCAGTTAAATAATATATATTAATTTGGACTGAAATTTCGGATAATAAGGTTATACGAACTACAAAAGCAGCTGAATCATATCATCGACATTTAAAAAATCAATTTTATGTGGCTCATTGTTCCGTTCATATAGTAATTGATGTATTATTAAAATTACAAAGCGAAACATATTTATGAACTCTCCTCGTATCAATAAATTAAAGATATCTCACGAAGAAATATTTGTTCAATGGAAGAAATACCAGGATGGTGAAATAAATCGTACAGAATACGTGAAAATAGTGGGATTAAAAAATCTACTAATTTATATATTATAATATTATATAATTTTATATTGTAATTTATTATCGACATAATAATATTAATATAATATATATATAAGATATAGCAATTTTTAAATAACTACCTATTTCTATAAAATATTAATTTTGGCGCTTATGTCATATGTCGGGTAAAACAGGTATATAATGTTATTGGCGCTTATGTCGTACAGCCTTTTTTAATTCATCTTCTTGCTATTTTTCCAATAACAGTTGAATTATTGTTATTATTAATGATAATTTGTTCCATCTTAGTAGTCTTAGTATAGTACTGATTAGTAGTATGTAATTATTAATTTTAATTATTTATGTTTATACAAATATAGTTAAGTAAAATATTAAATACGTCTTAACATTGCACAATTGGAAACCACTGGACTGTCCACTGCAATGCTGTGTTTTACATAACACGTTAAAAACTAGATAATATGTAGTGGCCAGTTTTTGCAGCCAGCCACAGCTTGTAAACCGTACCTTAGTATAATAACTGCCTTCCAAGGGTCATGAAGTAAGAGGTGTGACAATAAAATAACAAGACTCTTTTAATAAAAGTTATTTATTTTTAAAATTTTACAATTTAATGATTTTCACCTTCAAAGTATCTACCCTCAGCATCAACACACTGTTGCATAAGTCGCTGCTATTCTTGAAAACAATGTTGCCAATCGCTTTCAGTCAGCCCTTTTAGAAATTCTGTTGTTTTCATTTTTATGTCATCAACCGTTTGAAAATGAATTCCTTTTAATAAACTTTTAATTTTTGGGAATAAGAAGAAATCACAAGGAGCAAGGTTTTGCGAGTACGGGGGATGTTGAAGTACAGGAATATTTTTTTCAATTAAAAAACGTTGAATTGAAAATGCACTGTGAGATGGAGCATTGTCTTGTTGAAGAACCCGGCCATTCTTCCACAGATCTGGTCGCGTTTTTCTAACACGTTCTCTTAATTTAATTAATACCTCTTTATAATAATATTGGTTGACAGTTTGCCCACTAGGAACCTATTCAACAAAAATTATTCCCTTAATGTCAAAGAAAACAATAAGCATTTCTTTGAATTTCGACTTGCTCATTCGTGCTTTCTTCATTCTAGGGGAATTCTTGGGAAGTTGGTGTCTTCCAATGCATGGATTGCCTTTTAGTTCCAGAATCATATGTAAAAATCCATATTTCATCACACGTAATAATATTATATATAAGAGATGGATCATCTTTGAAGATTTTTAAGTTGTCAGAACAAATTCCTTTGCGATTGAATTTTTGATCAATCGTCAAATTTTTAGGGATCACTTTAGCACACATTTTTTTTCATATTTAAATTTTCAATTAAAATCTTACGAACACTTTCTCTATCAATATTTATCATTTCTGCTATAGCTCTAGCACTTAATCGACAATCTTGCCGAATAACTTTGTCGATTTCTTCAACGTTTTCTTTTATTGAAGATGTGGTAGGACGTCCAGAACGATCATCGTCTTCGATGTCCTCTCTTTCACTGCAAAATCGTCTGTGCCATTCAAAAACGCGAGCTCTTGATAAGCATTCTTCAACATAAACTTCGCATAACATACGAAATGATTTCGCGGTAGTTTTTTTTAATTTAACAAGAAATTTAATGTTAACACGTTGTTCGATTTTTATATCTAACATTTTTCGACAGTATAGTGGAACTCACACTAATAACAAGGCTACTAACGTATAAGAAAGTTAACTGATTTCATCAGTGTCTATAGTACTTTTAGATAAGTGTTTCCTAATCATATTTCAATAATCGTTTTATAGATAACATTAATAGTTTAGGATATATTTAGAAAGTCTCGTTATTTTATTGTCACACCTCGTAGATAATCTATAAAAAAGTATTAGTCTAAAAATAGAAATCCTACATTAGGAGGGTTTGATCAAAGTTAGCACGAATTTTGATAAAGATTCAAATAGCAAACAAGTAATTCTTAAGGATGGGGTTCAAACACTAGTTACTGCAATAAAAATAATTTTATACAACTTATAACGAATAATCCGTAATACAGAAGAACCAAATTTGACAAAGCCAAATTTATATCACAGGAATTCCACAAAATGGTTGTCGGTTTATTCACTTGTCTTTTACCTTCGAGTAAGGGATAAATCCATTGGAACGCATGGCCATGGATCTGCCCCTGCGCATAGGACCACCACCGCTTACACCAGCGCAATTAAATCGGAAATTCGATGTTCTGCTACCGCGTTTACCGCCACTGAAATCTTTGGAGCCACCTTGTCTTCCGCCACCACGACGTTCTGCGTGGGATGACGATTTTTTGTTCTTGATCAATTCGTCCAAACTCAAGTCCATTTTGAACAGATATGAAATCAAAAATTCACAAACAAAAATGTACGAGACCACGTTCGGAGAGTATTAAACAAAAAAATTGCCGGCACACACAATAAACAAACGAATTATATTATAATCGCATTACACTACGTTCTCTATAGATACACTTAACGACGAGTGGGAGTGAAAGAAACAAACATCCGAAACATGATCTTGCATTAGCAAAAAAACATGCTGGTACCAAATCATTAGAGACAAAAAGAAGATTTCCAAAATTAAAAGGAAAATGATAAAAAGACTTTAGAGTGTACATTATTGTATTTATATGTGTATTATATTATAGTTTATATCCGGCGAAATTCATCAATTGTCATTATATTTTAGACCATTGAATACCACCAACTATTAAGTAGATTATTCAATTGTGTTTTTTTTCGGTTTCATTGATAAAATAATATATAACGTTTTATAGATTATATTTTACATATTTATAGTTGATCATCATTATGTAAAAAAAAATGTATGCACATGATTACTCTATTTTTTAATACATTTAAGTTATTCATACCAATTGAGTACAAAAACTTGTAGATTATTTATGGGGATTGCTAATGGTCAGTTTTTAAGGGGCTTAGTATAGGCAATAATTTTAGAGCCTTGTTTGTGAGTAGTAAGAAATCAATAGTGTTAAGGGGATCGGATCACACGTATTTCTCGTACGTTATAGACCAATAAACGTTAGTAAATTACACATACTTCCGAATTTCCGATTTCAATTGTTTATATATGCATGAATTCTTTAAAAAAATATCTAGGCTTTCTAGGAAGCCGATTTTAAATTTTCAATAAGACCAATTTTCAATAAGGACCATAAAATTAAGATATATTTATAAAAAAATCTCATGAAATTATTACATTTGTATTTATTTTGGACACATCTGGTTTTAAATCAAAAAAGTGGTTCCTACAAAACATAGCCAAGAAGCTTACAAATTCAACCATTTTTTTCAAAATTACAATCAAAGTTCAGGAAGTATGTTTAATTTACTACCGCTTTTAGTAGTTTTTATAAATTATGAGTACAAGAATATATTTAATTTTTCGCGATTTATTGATGTGTGTACGCGTACGAGAGTTGCTTTCGCCTGAACCTCATCACATGTACCTCCACATTTCTCTCTATCATAGCCAGGTCGTTTCGTTATTTATAAATAAAATAATTTTAAAATAATATTGTTTATCTGTATTCTGTGATCCCGTTATTGCCAGAGAGACAGTACAGTCGATTGTTATACAAGGCATGTCAAATTCAAAGTATCAAGTGGGCCAAATATAAAAAAAAAAAAATTAACGTATAATTTTTTTAATATTATATTATATATATATAAGACCATTTGTAAAACTTAATCGATTTCAATTTATCAGAATATAAGGCATAATAACGTATACCAAACATAATATAGTTAACATATATAACCAAGCCCGGATTATGATAATTTGGGGCCAGGGGCCAAACAATTTTAGGGGCCCATAACCATAATCAAAATATTGATGACCTACACATAAATATATTTCAGAGACAAAAAAAAATTATATTTTAATTTATAAATTTATTTCTTGCTTTTTTTTAATATAAAAAATAAAAATGTTATTTATATTAAATAATTTTTTCTTTATTTTTGTGAAGCAAACCCTTTAATTATATCATCGGTATTAATTACTTATAAAATTTCTAAAACATTACTTTCTGTACACAAAACCATAAAAGTTTATACTATTTTATACTTGTTTATTACACGAGCTAAAAAAGAGTTAAAAAACGAAAAAAACCTATTATCTACCAGGGGCCTATTATTGTTTGATATCGGTTGTGGGCCTGGGGCCATAGCCCCTTCTGACCTCCTCCCTTTTTCCGGGCTTGGACTTACCAAGTAGTAATACTTTAGACCAGTGATTCTCAATCAGTGTTCCACGGCACATTAGTGTGAGGTATTTTATAAAATGACGAACAAAATATTGAGAATGTGCAGAATAAGAAAATCCATTTATTTTTAATCATGATAATACTGAACAACTAAACCAAAAATATTTTTTATTTTTTTTACAAAAAAAATATACTTAGAAATATCAATTATATCAATTATTACAGAATATATGCAAACACAAAAATTAATAATAAACATAAGAACAGGTTATTTTTACCATTATACATCGTCCATTGAACATTTTATCGATTTTTTACCCTAGTTATTCCAAATATTTCCCTGAATGTTTCAACGTCATACTTTTTTCGATCTTTGATCATAGAAGGAGGATATGACACCCATTGTATTTGGATGTGTTTTTTTTTAATTTTAATTTTCTTAATATTAGTTTGTAGAACTGTACTTGTTTTGAGTCCTTTGAATTTGGTTTTTTTTTCATCTGTTGGGTATAGAGAAGGGGAATAGATGCAATATATATTATAGAGGCATTTCAAATTATCCTCTTTCATGGAAAGTAAAACTAATCAATCAATCACCTTATATTTCATAGTGATTTTTTCCTAGTAAAAAATAGTACAATTTAATTTTTAGGTGTACTCTAAGAGTCTTTAACATATACTATTAAAATTAATAATTAAGTTAATTATTTAACTAACTGATACATGTTTTATTCGCTCAATAAAATTGGCAACATATATTTTATGTTTATTTTATATTTGAAATACTTGTGCTAATTTTCAAGTTTTGGGCACCAATTACGTATTAAATATAAACTAAAACTTATTAAAACAAATGTCTGAGTCTTGAGTGGTTTATTTAGTATTATATAAATGTGCAGTAGATTTGGTGCATATGGTGGTGCATATAGTGATTTGGCATATTAATCAGAATTTGAATAAAAATCATTTGTGTAATTTATGGGTTGAAAACGTGATTTTCGAATTCTTTTCAACTTCGTTTAAAATGTTAAATAATTTTCATTCCTCACTTATTTCAGCATTCAGAGACTTATTTACAGTTAAATTAATATTTAAAAATCATACACTTTTCAGTAGGTATAAAACTACTGAAAATAATAATCTAGGTGTTTAAATGGTATATTTTCACAACAATAAATATAACAAATATATTTTTCAAATGTTATGTATTTATTTAAATATAATATCTAATATAGTATTAAACTCAAAGTATTATCTAAATTAATAATTAATTTTGTATAACTTACTTTAAATTCTAATGAACACTTTTGAAAACACTTAATTGTAAATAACATAGTATAATATATGCATATAAATAAATTAAAAATTAAAATTCAACAATCGTACTCATGATTTAACTAAATTTAATGATTGCCTCAATGACGGTCATTTTTTGAGTCTAAATAAAATATTCTTAAATATTAAATTCAACTAGGTTGTCTGTTCTACAGAGAATTGAAAAAGCTGATACATTAACAATTTATTGTTTCATAAAATACTTTATGAAATCATAAGTCTAAGCGTGTTCATCAGGTTTTAAGTTTTCAAAACCAATTCAGATTTCCCTAACTGATTGAAACCTTAACAATAACGGCACGTGATGAGAAAATTAATTTTGTTGATGTTTCTAATAAATTATTAAAAGGTGGTTTTTTAAAACTTTCTTCATTACTTGACATTTACAAAGAATGATTTGTTTATAACCATAACACTTATTTGTCTACCAATTAATACAATTTACGATCGCATGGTTATTGTATGATGGATTGATCAGTAATAAGTATTAAGATACTTATTTTGGTTTAGTGGTATACGTTTTACAAGATGGATAAAAGTAAACTTCGTTTTTACGTTGTTATTAATTTGAAGTTTCAACAGAAATTTGTACAAATGAAACTAGACAATTTCTGAACTAATATCTTCAAGGTTCTATAAACCTGGGCGCTGGAATCCGTGTATTCACAGAGTGTATTCAATTTTTACCACACTACTATTACAGAGTTGAACTAAAATTATCAAGTTATGTTGTATCCATCTGTACAGTTTGGTAACAATGGTTCTTTGTTCAATGGTACCAAGATGTCTTCGACTGGCTGCATTCCATCTTCTTTCCACTCATCCCTGACCTAGAATTATAAATAGCAATTTATTTTTATCTAATTATTTCCTTAGTTTATATTAACCTTTTCCACTTTGGAAAACACTCGTAATAAATTGTTGCCTGCAAGTTTTTTTATTTGATTTTCAGTCCATGAATGGTTTGTCATCAATGAAATCAATAGCCGAGGATAGTGTGATACGTCTTCAAGTCCTTGCGTAGTACTGCAAAAAAGTGGGTTTTTTTTTGTATATTAAGTATATTATAATAATGTTTTGATTGAAAAATAATTTCTTAACTCATACTAAAGTTTTAAAATATACCAATTTAAAAGTTAAGGCTGATATTTAAAAATTATCACCAATAATATTACGTTAAATTTGTAGTTAAAATTTACATATTATATTATACATAATATGATGTAATATTTATGCATTTAATATATTATGAGCTATTCTCTAACGCAGATAATGTTTTCCTTTATAATTATAAAGTTAATTTAAACCAATGTAAAAAGTATAATATAATGTATAAAATAGATAAAAAAATTATTATGGTAACCTTGATTTGATACTAAGTTTGAAGTTGTAAATAAATTATAATTTCAGATTAATGGATTGATTAGGTGATTAATGGGTCTCATAATTTAATGCAGTAATGTGTTGTTATAGAACTTAGTTAATTGATACTACTAAATATGTTCAAATTCAAGCATAACCTGATTAATTATATATGTTTAAGTGAATCGACAAATTATTAAATACTGATTATAATTTTATAAATACTGATTATTTAGAATGTTGTATAACTATTTGTTATCTAACGAGCTTATAATTTTGAAAAATAATTTTTCATATTATAAAAATTAAAAAGTGAATTGAAATTCACACGTTACAAAAAAAAAAAAATAAATTACTCAAATAGGATTTAAAATAACATAATTTATCGATAACCTGAAATAAATTATACTTTTATAGACGTTCAAATACGCAAAAGTATTCAAATATGAGTTTTTAAATACTTAAGTAGCAACTATTAATAGAAAAATTATTTCATGTCATGAAGTGTATCAAAGAGAACTATTTGTAGGATGTTGGTAATAATATTTTGAATTAATTGCATTACTAAAAATGTATAATCTAATATTTGGACAATTTATTCGAAGCAATTGAATTAGTTCTCAAATACAGGTGATCAATATTTTATCCTTAATAAGTATCTTTGAATTGGCTCTCTAAATTTTTTCTTTCAAAAATTTATTGATTACCAAAATGTTATTAATCATTTTAAGCTATCCGTTATTTCTTGGACTTCATTTATTTTTTTCTTCAGTTGTTTTAGTTATTTCTTTAGTTACAATGTACAATAAGTTTAGTTTAATTCTTAATTTTAACACAAGGTTTACAATGTTACGTTCATGTGTTTTATTTAGTTACATAGAAAGTTGTACTTTTGATTACATTTTTTTTCAAACAAAATTATTTTAAAAATGAAATACAAAAATCTTACAATAACGTAGAAAAAAAATAATGATTAAATAATTAAAAAATTAAAACATCGACAATTTTTAAACTAAACGCGTCGTTATACATAGTATATTTATAAATATAAAAAATAGTATATTATTAAATTTTCGCCGTGGTTTTTATTTATTGGCAAATATTTTTATATACTGAAATCTTGAAAATCCACCAGAGCCATATTTTCGAATTTCATATTCTAAATACTGTATTTTGTCTCTAATTTCTTCCCGGTGTGATTTTATTTTATTGGAACTTCTTAAAATAATTTTAGTATCAGCTTGAATACTATATAACATATTTAAAATATTTAATATATTAAGATGTGGCAAATAAATATGTAAATTGAATTTCGAATGGAAACATTCGTTGCTTTTTCTGCCCAAATTTCTGGTGAAAATGTTGAATCAATGTAAATGTAATATTTTACTGAATAATCAGTAAATAAACTGAATAAAATTTTGTAAGTTTTTCATTCATTGGTTGTATTTCAAATAATTCATCGGAAAAGCAATCCTCTACGTATGGGCACCCGCAGGAAATTTATCAGGGAGGGGCATAATAAAATCTATCACCAAAAAATACATTTAAAAAAATTAATTTCTTGTAAACTATAAAATGTGTTAAAATTATATTAATAATATTAAAGTTATTTAACAGACGTCGTGTGCGTATATTTGCGTCAATCGCCATAAGTGGTTTACATACCAGTACGCCTTAAAATATATTGTTATTACGATCATTAACCCTACCTACTAAAGTAAAAATATCGATGAAATGTTCATAAATCAGAATAAAAGTTAAAATGTTCAACATTCTATTTGAATTCCAAGGGGGGGGGGCAAATGCCCTGTCTTGCTACCCCCTCCGGGGGCTCACACCCCTACGGATTGTGACCATTTAATGTATAATCGGATTAACGATTAGATAATTTCCAGCAGTTATCCAGCACTGGATTGCTAAAAATAATAAAGTTGCGTACTTTTTCAACTTTTATTTTTTGAGAACCATTTGTTGAAAATTATATTAGGAGCCATTCAATGTTGCATTTCTTGGGAGTTAATTCAATGTTTAATGGAGTACCTAATATTAAGAGCCAATTCAATGGTTGCCAATTTATTTTGAATAATACGTTAAAATAAAAACTTCATTACCAACATAAATTGAACTATGTAAGTTAAAAAAAAAAGACATTTAAGAAATTCGACTATTAAATTTTTTGATAAAAATTGGTTTTTAATAATTATAATAATTGTTTTTGATATTTTTCATTCTACGAAAAATTACATTAAAATTAAAATAATATTTAGTTCTAGAATATAATAAATTATCTTTACTGATTAATGCCGTCATAACCAGCACCTAGGCCAACATGGTCCTCTCCTGCTACGTTTTTAATATGGTTAATATGAGCTGAAAAATAATCATTATTGTAACTAAAAACAGTTGTAACAAGAACGTAATAATATATAGTAATAACGTATAAAAAAACACACACCAATAACTTGTTCCATGGTTGATGTTGAATTACAGCTAATAAAATAGGAATAGAAGCTCACCATAACTATACCATCGTTTAAGGCCTAAATTAAAAATTTTAATGTAATAAAACATTTTATTTACTGATGGATTAGATATTATAAATGCGTACCACTTGTTTGAGCACGTGATCGGGAACATTTCTCAGTGAAGTACATAATGCATATGCACATGAATGTGAAAATATTACAGGTGCTAAGGTATAGTTAAGCGCGTCTTCCATTGTTTTGACAGATGTGTGACTAAGGTCAACCATCATTCCGAGTCGATTCAATTCCCTGAGAACTGACTGTAAAAGTACTAATATACAAGGAGGTTTGGATGATATGTAAGGCTTGGGTGAGACATAGGAGTCGGTTGAGACACTGAAATGCTGGAGATCAATGTACCGTTGGTTTCGCAAAGCGATTATAAGCGAAAGCGGTCGGGTGGATCAGTCTCTGTACATCTAAAGATAGTTTACTTCTTAATATATTTTCAATGGCTAATAGATTCGTAATCAAGTTGGTTTGATGGACTCTTGTAAAATATAAATCAATAAATACACTACCGCTTGTACTTTTACCTTGGGTCTTTTATTTAATTAATTTAATAATGATTATTAAAATGTTTAATATAATATGTGTATAATTCTAACATAAGTAACTGACTTATAAGTCAAATTCATACAGTTAATAATTTTAGACAGCAAGAATACTAATATTGTTCAATCGATATTCGTTGAAGTGTTCGATTTTATCAACATTTTGTATTCTAACGCTTGTAATTTTTTTTTCGACTTTCATAGTAGAATCAATTAACATTCTTCACTTTATTCGGAATCTAAAATAAAATCAAGGTAAAATATCATGTAAACGAAAGAAAATTGAAGAATATTAAGTAATAATAATAATTATTTCCAGATTTCCCCAGAACGAAATGTAAGCAATATGAAGTTCAGTTATCAATAAAACCTATGATATCTGAGTGTATTCTATAACTTTGGTTTCCTACAAAAGTGGTGCCGTAATATTTCGTCGCCGCAATATGACGGTGTGCATTTTTAATGCCCGTTTCAAATATTTGGTTTTCTAAAAAAGAAAAAAATATTTTCTGATATAAAACCAAACTTCACAAAAATTTCACTAAACTCACATCTTAGTCACATTCTATGAATGCTTCAAGTAGTGTGATGTACAGCGGTGCACTATGAATGATTTAGATTTAACATTATATATGTATTTGAAGGATGAAGAGACGTTGGAAGACGAAAACTATCGTTCGGAATAGAGTGAAATATTTAAAAATCGTGTTATAGGGAGTATATTTTTAAATTTTAGTGCGTTGATTTTTACATAAAAATATATATATAAATATGTATATGTATACTTTTAAAGTATATTGAACACTTGAATCAAAATCAATTTAATATACGTAACATATTACGTTTGTCATGTTTACCGAAATAAAAAAAGACAATATTTTAATACCATGGTGAATTAAATGCTATTTACGTATATATTATTGATTGAGTTTTTTGGCTTTTTACAAAATCAATCAATATTTCATCATTTTCATTGGATCAAGTTACGTTTGAACACATTGTTTTTGATTAAATATTGACCGTTATACCGTAAAACAACGTTAAACGATTGTTTGTTATCGTAATGACGGCCGTTATATAACTAACTACATTATTTGATGTTCCTGTTTTTCTTAATGTTATTTAGGAAAAAATAAACAACTGGTTTTTATTATTAATGTTTTTTATCACTATATTACGGACGCTAGATTTTGGCACTGCTTTTGTTCTCCAAAGTTTAAGCATTAAAAATGACCATAACCTATATAAAGAAGAGGGTCCAAACAACAAAATAAATTCGATTAACTTCTTCATAATATTTTAATATTGTCTTGGAATTTGAAATTTAAATTTTTTTTGAACTTTTTTTAGAAAAAAAATATTAATTTGGTATCACGATTTTTTTTGAAGATATGATAGCTTAAAAATTAAAAAAATGTCAATATTTTTTAATTTTAAATACATAAAATAGTTACAGGGATTGTTGAAAATATTATATATTTATTATAGTTGACACTTACAAAATATGATTGAAAAACATTAAACATTTAAATAATTAGTATATGTTATTAATATATAATAAACTGATTGTGATAATATGGCAAATTTATCTTACCGTATTGTAGATTTTAATTTCACTAAAATAACTACTGTAGTTAAAATATGTACGTTCAAAACAGAGCTTCGTTCACTTATCTTCAATTACTGTCTACCCTTTTCACAGTTGCCATTTAGTCATATTAGGTACCCTTGGGTATACTGGAATATTTACGCTATGTGTTATAAACGAATTAGGTTTGCGCATTGTTACGCAACATTTTTAACTACAAAAGTTTGTACGTGGTTGGAAAATTCAAATACCAAAAAAATCATGTCATTAAATACGAACCAACATACTTTTCAGTAAATACACAACTCAACAATATAGTTATTAAACTCCAAATTGTGGTTAAAATAAGAAAAATAATCACGTAATAAAATATTTTAAATTTATTGTTTGTAGATTGTTTTTATAGCAATTCTTTTATAATATTACGTATTTACCATACAAAGTTATTTTTTTTAAATACAACAAAAAAATATGAAAATATGATATCCAAGAATATTTAGACAAATGACAGAAAACTTGATATTTGTTAAGAGAAGCTATCCGGTGATAAAACTCTTCAGAAATGTAAAATTATTTATGAAACGGACCACTTTACTATTCTGGCGTATTTATTGACACATTAGCGCATCCAGCAAAATGGTGCAATGCAGTATTTTAAATTTCAATTTATGAAATTATTATTTAATAAATTAGATTCTATTTTATTAAAACAAGTGTAAAACTATTATGCTCAATACATTTTTTATCTAATATACTCACTAAACCAAAAGGAGATAACCCTTGTTGTTCATTATCTGGTGAATCTAGACCGGAACAACAACCAGCCCTGTAAAAAATTAAAAATGTAAATTATGACTTTTTTTTTTTATTTGTTAATACGCTAAAATAAATGTATCATTTTGAACATTACTTAAACTATATTTAAATTAAATATAATGTACATTTGTATTTAATACACTACTGATTTGTGATAATGTTAGTTAAACATTTTATAATATATATACAGTACTCTCTCGTTAACACGAACTCGGTTAACACAAATTATTTGATAACAAGAAACAGTGGCGCATATAAAAAATATTTTCGGGAGGGGCCACTATGGACAGAGTTAAATTATCACAACTATCTAAGAATTACAAACAAGATACAGTAGGTACTTATCTACATTTCATTTACAGAATGTTCCAAAACGATTTGACGTTGGATGCAAATTCTATATAAGCATAAAGCACCATTAAAAAATAACATACGTTTAAAATAATTTTTAAGTTTTTAAAACATTTCGGGGGGGGGGGCTGTAATCCACTAGACACCTTCCCCTTATATACTTCACTGACGCGAAACAATTTTTCAGTCCTGAAAAACACCATATACTAGGTTTTTTTCTTTTCTTGGTTTACACGAATTTTTCAGTTAACACGAAACTCGAATAAAATTTAGAAACCATAGTGTCATTTTGTTGATTAGCTGTAAAATTCATACGTCATAGAATGAAAATGATATTTTCAATATCGATGAGACTGGAGTTTTTTTTTATAATTTATTGCCCGATCGTTCATTTGATTTTAAAGGAGTGAAGTCACATTGAGGTACAAAGAGTAAAGAAAGACTGACTGTTGCATTATGCTATAATACAACTGGCTCAGAAAAATTGAAGATTTGGATAATAGGCAAATATCAAAGGGTAGAACACGATTGCGTACGTTTGTCTTTTTTGGCAAAACGATTGCATAAGTTTGTAGACTGGTAACAAAAAGGTGGTAAGAAAAATAAATAAACATGATTACGTATGAAAATTGTATGCATCGTTGGCAAATTTACTAATTTCACCGTATTATGTCTAATATAGAATACATATTCAGTTCTATAATAGTTTATAAAAAAAATTAATAATAAAATAATAAATGAAATGAGGATGACTACATAAAAGAAAAGTAATCAATAAATAAATAAAATCGACAGTTTTTATTTGAATGAAATTATTGTTAATTTTTTGTTTGAAAATGCTTAAATTTGGATTCCTTGACATCTATAACCTATTACTTTTACTGAAATTGGGAAAATACGGTATTATATAACGGAAATAATGAAATTTCGTTATATTTGATATATATGATATCATTAATAATAAACATATATAATAAGAGCAATAAAACACAAAGTATTTATTAACTTTGTGTTTTATTGTTCTTATTACATATGTTTATTGTTAAAGTATTAAAGTATTTATTTAAGTATCTATTTTATGAATGTATTTACTAATTTTGATAAGTTATTTCGTATAGGCATGTGGTATACACCAATACTGGTATGAAAATTGGCATCAACGTTTAAAACTTCGTACGCAATCGTGTACTTAAAAATTAGGTAAAATCGTACGGAATCCTGTAATTTAAAAAGGTATCGTCGATAAGGGACGTACGCAATCGTGTTTTACCCATATCAAAACCCCAAATGGTTTAAAAACTTAAACAAACTTAGTCTTCCATTTGAATATACTCATAAAAAAAAAAAAAACGCGTGAGTTGATTCAACATATTTTCGCCTATGGTTAGTTAAGTTTCAATGAAGAATAGCACTACAGAATATAAATGTACTTTTGACCATGAACAATTGCAGTGTCCATAATAATATTAGCGACTGGAAACTGCCAAACGTAAAAATAGTTTATTTTTCTTCGAATTGTACATCTAGGTTACAACCACTAGATCAAACGATAATTACTGCTTTTAAACGTTATTTCAAGTCTAGACTTATACACCATGCATTATTATGCCTTGATTCCGATCAACTACGTATAAAATAGAACATTTTACAAGTGATGGCTGTATCATGGATTGATGTAACCACAATCAGTAATTGTTTAAAAAAAGCGTGGAATATTAGAGGCGGAGAAACCTTAAGCACTAAAATACCCATAAACAAGGATATAAATGACGAAGCTTGGAATAAATTATTAGCTCTTGTTCCAATTTCTAATGAAAATACTTTTCTTTTTTCAAGTTTTATACTATTAGATAATGATTTCGAGATTTGCGATGAAAGTGCAGGAGAGGATAAAAACCCAGAAATCTCAGCAAAAGAACCTACTGAACCTCCAGTGGATAAACCTTCTCGAGTTGATGTGATGATAGGCTTTGATACTCGTAAAATTTTCCCAAACCAGTGCAAATGTGGATTGCAAATTCGATGACCAGTTGAACAGCATCAGAAAACAGTGCTTGGAAAACTTTCAAGTTACTTTCACCCAAAAATCCATCACCGAATTTTTTAAACAATCTACTACTTAATGACGTGAGTTTTAATTTAGTCAATTTAGTTAAAAATTTTAATATATAAAATAGATTTTTTTAAATTATTTAATTTTTTTTTTTATCATCCATGCAATATAAAATAATCTTATATATTAAAATAATCTTTATATATTTCTTATATGCATAATAAAATGTTATATGTATTTAATATTTATATGTAATTGATAGTGTATTTTAATAAGTTTACCTATTTGATTTAATCACCTCTGATAACGCAAATTCGTTCGTATAAGTATAAATCGTTTAATAAAAACCAATTCGTGTGAAACATGTCGGTTTGCACAAATTTTTTGAACACGAACAGGTCATTTTTCAGTCCCGTCAAGTTCGTGTTAATGAGGGAGTACTGTACTCGTATTACTAGTCTTAAATTAAATCATTACTAAGTATTCCACATCTGTTCTATAGTCTGTAGGTATTTAACAAAAATATGTTTCGTAATGAGAATTATAATTTTACGTAAAAGTTTCTTGCACTACAATAATATTATCAGTAAAAAGAATTAAAAAATTATAAGTTATTCTTATTGCTTTATTTCAATTTTAAAATTGTATGACAAAATAGTTAAATTAACAATAAATCAATTGTTTTTTCATTTCATTAATTTCATACACGTGCCAATTTTTAATAAACTTATAATTAATAACTAAGATTATATGCACATTATAAAAATATTAAAATTATATAAAAATTGTTTTTGAAATATGGCGTTGATGAAGGATGCTGAGAATGAGATAGAATACCGTACCAACAAAAAGATACTCAGTTAAATAGAGGAATGAAGAGAGATACTCAATACCATCAGAACAAGACGATGGAACATGATAGGTCATAAAACGAGACATGAAAATGAACTAACCCATAGAAAAATAGAAGTCATAATTGAAAGGTAAAAGAAACAGAGGACGTATAAGAACTTCATTTGTCAAACAAATTGCTTCACCGGCGGAACAACGACGTAAATGCAAATTTCACTATTCTTCAAAAAATGTAATTTAAAATTTGAATTATTTTATTTATATATAATAAATGATAGAAATAATCAATCAATATTTTTACTATGGAAAAGTTAGTCTAGTTTAAGACTACATAATCAGTTTTTATAAAAAAAAACTACCATTTAACAGCTAAAAAAAATTTGAGAACTAGCAATTGTGTCATTATTCCTCTAGAAAATGTTAAAAATATTAGAATTTTTAACAATTTATAATAACAATATGAATAACGAAATCATTTAATGATCTCTGTGGCTGGACTAACAAGTTACAACAAACTGAAATGGCTAGCCGAGAACAGAGAAGAGTGGAGATCGAATATCTAATTGCAAAATCAACCTTAAAGGCTGAATACCAAAAAGAAGAAAAAAAAAATTGATAATTTCTGATTTTGTTTAATTTTAAACTGTATCTATTTATAACGAATATGAAAATATAATATTAGAATACAATCGATTTGACTTAATTATGGATGTTTCAAAATATATTGTTTTCACTTAATTATAAATTAAATGAATGTGTGGATTTTTTGTTAAGTATTTATTTAATTTTAAATTTTTGGAAGGGAATTATGATTTTAATCTTAGGAAATGTACTAATCTTTTTCATTCCTAACAAAATAAAATTATGTATTTAGCTTATAACTAAATACATAATTTTAAATATCTTTTATACATTGTTGTATTTTAATTTAGTTTTTGTTTATTAGATAGGTATAAAATATTCAAAGTAAAACATTTTTACTGCCCATTTAAATAATTTATGTACAACTGGTAGGTTAATATTATACTGGGGTATAGCTTACCTATAATTAAAATTGGCAAATTATAAGAAGTATATCACTATATTATATGTGAATTTTCACTGTAAAATTTCAAGATATTTACTATTTGGAAGTATCATTGAATAAATGATAAATAAAAACATTGAATAAATTAAAAAAAAAAGTAATTGGTTGAAAATGTATTTATTTATTTTAACATAATATTATAGATAAATTAAAGTTTACAGTTCCTGATTATTTAAAAAACATTAATTTTGAAGAATATATTATAATCTAATATACATAAATTAGGTAGCTTCTATATTATATTTCGTTTTAAAATGTTAAAACTAGTTTGCAAATGGTTACACTAATAAGAGATTAATTTAAATTTTACAAGAACATACTATTTATATTAAGTCGAAAAAAATATTTTATTGCATGCTAATGACCTTTCTTATACCTAACAAAAAATAAAAATACATTTTTTTTATTATTATATTAATTTTTATAAAAAAGATGTTGAATATTTACTTAATTTCATAACAAAAAAAGTCCGTAATATAAATATAAACTAATTTTAAAAGTAAAGCGGAGGTTAAATAAAACCTTAAGATCCAATAGTAGTACGACCACTTTGGCTTATAAAGATTAAAGTTCTTTAAATAAATTATTATTTTAAAAATAAAGGGCGGGATCATTCGCTGGATACCGTGGATATTAAAGCAATTTGACGTTGTCTTAAAGTTTAAAATAATGTAAAAAAAACTAAACATTTTAAATCTGAATTAGATAAAATTAAATTAGTATTACAAAACATACTAAACAGAGGTACTATTATTTAAAACCTAAGGATGAATTATACAACTCATAGGAAGACAGAAGCAGAAACCTTAATCCTAACAAAAACAGTGATTGACTATTGTGAAATATGCGCTACCAGTGGTCATTTGACAATCACTCAGAATGGATACATATAATATATTACGTATAAAATCTATATAAACATATAAAAACAACCTAATTTATTGTTTTTCTTGTTATAGTAGTAGAGCCAAACCCATTTTTTAAAATCAGACGACAAAAACTTACCTGTGATTACTGTTATATGGTTGCCAAATAAAACTAGATTCATTCCATACATACTGTGTAAAATGTTATTCAGAGTTCAAATAAATAAAAACTAATTTTAGAAATAGACATACAATTTTAATACAGTACATTTCAAAAATGAAATAGGATAAAAATATATACGTTATATATATAATGATTTCTAATTAACAAATAAGAAGTACAGAATCATAACTATTCTAAAAAATATAATAAAAATAATAATAAAAAACATTATCGGATAAACTTCCTGATCAAAAAAAGAAACATAATTGTAACTTGTATGCAAAACCAGTACGAAGAATACTTTTTTCAGATTTTCAATTTAGTTTAACAAACACCCGACGGATTAGGATTACATTGAATATTATTCTATTCAAATAAACTTTATTTATTATAAGTACGCAATAATCTGTGAATGAAACCACATACGTTTTAGGCATATAATAAAAGATATATAAATATATATAAACAATAAAAGTAAATTATATAAATGAAATACACAGTTTGGATAATATTTAACAAAAACGCATCTTATAGCATAATAATCAATAAAAAGGATGAATTAGATCTAAATATGAGTATAGAATACTAAGACTCAATAAGGTAATTTAAAAAGAAAATCAAACATTGAATTCGTATACGTCTGATCGTTTTGAAGTTTACGACTAGTTTATGAAAAAGCGATGAAAATAAGTTTCATTGAAAATACATAGCGAACAATTTTAAAACTAAAAACTATTATAAATCATAAAAACATACTATATGTAAAAAAATATGCAATTTCATTAACATCCGAGCCCTAGTAATCATGAAAACATATTGTGAAACGTCTTTACGCAGCATACGTGTGGGCGTGAGCGTTGTTTTACGAATAGTATATTGTACGTAAACGAACGAATGAATTTCGTTGCCGAACGAGCCCCGCGGAACCGAAGGGGGTGAGGGGATGGGGCGCAAATCACCGAACGCCGCACACAGTACACCTCGGACCGGAAGGAACGGATGGCGATGATACGTTAACCGACCGCTACCTACCGCAATGTTTTCGATTCCGTTTTGAGTAGACGCGTGTTACACCTGTCCGCCTGCGCCGCCGACACGCCGTCTCCGAGTCAATAAAGTTTATGTAGGACACGGCCCGCGTGCGTACAAGATTAGACCATTGAAACCACTCGAATGTGCTCCGCTGCAGAACAGTTAACGACCGTGTGAGCGCGCCCGCGCGCGCGTGTGTGTGTATGTGACGAAATCCAATCAATTCGGACCCTTTTCTTCATCCCCTCCCACCATCCCCCGTGGTTCCTTCCCTGCACTACGCGCTCACCGGTCACGAACTTACCGGACGTCCGTGCGCGCGCGCGCTTACCCGAGGATTGATAAGAAACCAATGGGTCGAATTAAGAAGAAAAAAAAAAGTATTATTATTTCTAAACACACTCGAAACGGCTAGGTGATTTATTTTGTTTTTATCTCCCCCGCTCGTAGATTTATAGATTTTACCACAATCCACTCTCTTTTATTTATTTTTTTATTTCGAACTTTCAGTAAAACGTCCTTAAGTATTCCGTTACGGGAAAAAACAGCTCGAGATTGTTGTGCCGTTTCGGCGAAATAATATCCCTTAAACCCATTCGTCCGGTAAAAATTGGCGTGTACGCATAAAATAGTTTACTAACCTATACAGTTATAATGTACAATACTTTGAGAGTTCCTTCGTTCACATAGGTATATTAATGCTAGAGAATACGGTTACGTGATTTTTATACTAAAAGATATTAATTAAGATCAAACCATGTAGTAATATATTTAGTTAAATGTGCGTTGGATGTCATCATTTGTGTTTAAATTAACGTAATTCAAGGAAGTTAATTATGAAAATTAATTGATACAGTAAAACCAATGAATACCTATTGACTTCAATTATTTATAATTGATAAAGAATTTCGCTGTTATTATCATTTTCTGTCTGATAAAAAAGCGGGCAAGGGATAACATATTGAAAAATGTAATTAGATATTTTTAACTGGGTGAACCACCGATTGATTTTAAATTAAATAGCTCATTAATATTGTTGAATTCATTGTCGTTTATGTTTAAAAAGCATAAAAATCCTCTTTTGGATTGAAATTCTTGGTTTTTCAATAAAAAATGATAGGATTTGATTATTACAAAATAGAAATATATTTTGAAATATTGTATCTATACAACAAGCTAACATAGCATGTCCTATTCTAGTCAAATTCAATTTGAGTTTTAGACATCGAAATTTATTGTTAATTAATTTTAATAAGGTTTTTAAAATGCACAACTTAATATTTAATAATATAGTAGTGGTATTAATTATTATTTAGTAATATAACTAAAATCAAATACTTAAAAGGTCAAAATTTGTGAGTAACAGTACACATAAAAAATAATATATTATTAATAAATGTTTATGTCTACATAAACTGTATTAATTATTCAATAATTCTTTCATCGTTCAATTTTTACATGTGTACTTTTATTTTGTCAAAATGTCGACATTTGATTCAGATAGTTTAATAAAATTAAGCCACTATAATGGCACAGAAATAAAATTGGATGGTTAAACAATTGTATAACTAATAAAGTAATAACAAATGTATGATGACTTTGTGAATATGAAACTTAACAATGTCAATAAATTTTTTCCAGTTATATAAAATACGATGTTTTATTAGAGTTTAGAAATATATTTTGACTGTTGGTAGTTTGAAATAAAAATAAAATAGAATTCATAATTTATCAAAAGTGGTCTTTTCATATCTTCATCTTTGAGCATTCGTTCGCTATGAAGTATAACATGTTATAAAATGTAGAATTTATCAAACCATCTGTCATAATATCAGATTTACAGAATAACATTTAAGTTCATGTATTACGAAATAAATAAAAATAATATCAACGTAAAATATTTGATATTACCAGCTAGTCAACTTTTAAAATGAAATTTTATTGTTCTTTAATAATTAGTTTAAATTAAAACAAACAGAATTTAGTTATATTATACAGAATATTATTAGCATTATATGTAGCATAATGTCTTTAAATTAAATGGTATTCTGACGCATATGTTACCTAGTAAATGGAAACCGCCTGTAGCGTAAGCATAAAGCTTAAGAATAAGCCCAAAAAAAATTCAAAAACACAGGCGCGTTCTTACATATTACAGCAGACAAAGATTTACTCAGAATAGTTCATCGATTTTCGATTTGCAATATGAGTAATAATAATACTTATTCCCATAACATAAAAGTATACATGTTTCATATTAAGATAAATAAAGTGAGATGAGTTCCAAACAAGCACCATTATTATTTGCTTTTCAATAAAAAAGAACGAAGTAATAGGTACAATATATTCTAATGACAGGTATAAAACATGATAAACATAAATTCAAGTATAACAATTTTCAAAACTATTATAATGGTGGTATTTTTCAAAATTGTTTGTAATTTGTAACATTTATAGTCAACGATAATGGTTTATTTTAAAATAAAAAAATAAAAACTATAAATAATTATTATATGTAACATACCATAATGTATCGCAAGTATGCGTCAAAGTTAAATACCTAGCTCCAAGGCTATGAAAAGTCCTGAGCACTGCTAGTGAATTTCCCAGTGAATGACCACCTTCAACGCCAATAAGGCTAGCAATTTTTCTGGCCTTGTGTGCCTCTCGTATTCCTGAAACAACGAATTATGATGCCCGTGCTGTATTCATAATGCAATTATAGATATAAAAAATAAAAATAAAAAAAAAAAGTGAGAGAAAAATATTATTATTTTATGATGATTTATAGTGTACCTTTTACCGATGTTACAAGCTGTAAATCACTGGAATAGGTTTCAGCCAACCTCCTAATGACGTCGATTTGTTCCATTGTAGTTTGGACGCTATCCAGGTGCTGTCTACCACAGGGTACGTAGGCCGACCAAAACTGTTAACAACGTAAAGAATTCAGATGTTAATAACGTGATTCTAAATACATATAAAATATGTCAATTGTTCGTTAAGAATTGAAAATGATGATTACGATAAAAATTATTACAATGCTACGGTATTAGATTACCATTTTAAATTAGTTTTGATATACCAATAGGTTATGTCATCATTTTTCCCCAACATGAATTACAGATTTGAAAACTAAGCAAGATAATTAGAATAAAGAATAACGGAACACTAGGAAAGTATATAGTTAGTGGAGTGTGCTTCTCTTTATAATGAGCCACTTGAGATAAAGTGTAATGGCATTAATTATTTAAAAATAAAAAATGGTAGGAATTAATTCACTTTTTTAGTATTCAATTATTTACTAGTAAAATAATCATGTAGAATTAGAATTGAAGAACAGTTTTTTTTAGTGTTATCTCGTTCATATAATGCAGTAAACTAGCTCAAGACGCTTTCTCGCATAAACGCTGTTTTCCGTCGTTCCCTAGACATTTCATGTAAAAAATGCCGAAGAAATGTTGGGTTATGTCAAAAAAACGAAAACTATTTTGTTAAAACTTACTGTCTGAATTTTAAGCAAACAAAAAATATAATTTTTTTTTAATATGTAATACAATAGAAAAATAATAACAATAAAAATACATATGTATATATATATATATATCTTGATGAAATTATGCATTTAATTTTAATTAAATTCAACAGCAAAAAATATATGTAATTGTAATTTATAATTGTTTTACCTGTTAAGTTATGTTTAACAATAAAAAAAAAAACTCGATATTTCAATCACTTTATATTTTTTTCAGTTCCCGCATAAGACGCTTCAGATACTTTAGTGAGGTGGTCTATTAAAAAGCGTTTAAAGCAAGTCTTCCTGTACTTAAAACGGGTGTCCGGTTAGGGCCACTATTTTTAGTTATTTTTTATTATTGTATCCGGTAAGTGGGCCACTATCAAATTAATATGTTATACATAAATATTGTTACAATACCTAACAGTGCTCACGAAACTTTAATCGAAGCGACCGTGTATCTTATCAAAATGTAATGAAATGATATAGAAATATCAGGGTCTGCCATAGTGTCATCAAATTAAATGGATAAAATTAGCTAAAAGTGTTTTTACAAAAATTATAGAACGTCGCGATCGTTTAGTTCACATGTTCCCAAAGTGGTCTATATCAACCCCCTAGGGACGATTCGGACCTGTAAGGGGTCTAAGTCAACGAAAAAAAAATTGGAGGTACATCATGTGTAAATAGGGGTTCACGAGAGTTATAAGTCAAAAATGTGTGTCGTAATTTTTACGAAAAATATGTGTGCTAGAACTTACAAGAAGAACTGATCGAAATAAGTACTAACGATGAACTTATGGTACAATTTAGAAATGGGTATCAGCAGTTCTGGCTTCAGAGAGACATACCTGTTACTTTTACTGCTTTTTGAAGAATCGCAAGAAAGTTTTTGATTGATTTTCCGTCATCATACAGCATGGAAAAAGGTTTCAACACAGTTGTCAATCTTCTTACAAAAAAAAAGAAATAGATTGGCAATTACTGACAGAGGAGATTTGAGGTCAAACCTGACTAATTTGAAGCAAAATATTGAAAATTTATTATTAAAGCATCGGGCTTATCCTTCCCATTAAAGATAACATTTTTTAACACCAACCTTTATTTTGTTATTATATTTGATTTGCATTTTTTATCGTTTTAATTACTAAAAAATTGATTTTGTTATTTTCCTTATTACAGAAATAAAGGTATAATTAAAAACAACACGTTTTTTATTTAAAAAAAAATAATTCCATAATAAAGCCTATTCAGGTGAACAGATTTGTGTAAGTTATGAAAAACACTTAGATGAGTTTGTAAGCATTTAATTTTAGGGGTCTACGAAAATGGAAAAAATTGGCATGTGGTCTACGGGGAAAAAAAGTTTGAGAACCTCTGGTTTAGTTGATTGCAAATTATATAATACACGTTTAATAATATATGCTGGTTCTGTTATATACGAGTAAAATGGAATTTTTGGAATTTTTAACGACGGAGACAGGAAAAAAGTTATTAATTTTTAATAATTACAAATTTTCTTTTGCTCACGAGAGTCAATGTGGTAAAAATTCATTGGCGATGTTATTTATATTATAAAATATTATATTATTATATTATTAATGATGGGTCAAACCCTGATTTTTTTAAATTGAACCGAACTTGAACTGAATCTTAAATTATTTTTTCGAACTCGAATTGAACCGAACCTTCACATTTTCTACCGAACCGAACCAAATCGAACCTATTATGATTTTAAGTCGAACTCGAACTTGAACTCAATACTTTTTATCATGTACATTGTACCTATCTACAAATTAAATCAACCATAATTCTTAATTACTATTGTATTTTAAGTTTTCGTATTACCTATTCTACATTTTAACTTTTAATTTTAAGTAATTGTATTATTTACAATACATTTAAATTTTAGATAATTTCTTATTATTATTATTATTTTTCAAAACCAGTATTATGCTCTCTCATGTTGTCTTGTAAATTATAAAATATTCATTGAGTATTGAGTATTGAGTGTAATATGACAATACAATCAGTACATTTTAATAATATATAAAAAAAATAGTAAAAATAACTATAATTCACAAATATAGAATGATTAGTAGAATTTATAATGTAAGAAGTAAGTTGTAAACATGTTTTTATTAACAGCAGAGTCGTGGTATCGGAATATTACCATGGATTTACCCAAAATAGATTTTAACCTCCATAATAAATATGATAAAAACAAAAATAGCTAATTTATGAATGCTAATTTATAATTTATTTTTATATACATTGCCTCTATTGGTGATAAACAACTTATTAATGTTTTGGTTGTTATGTAACATGCAACTGGAAAAATAATATTATTATTTTAAATAATGCATAATATGCCCTTTACAGATTATCACTTTCTATCGCCAATAGTCTAATTATTTCTAAATAATCATTATCAATTTTTATTTTTCAAAAATAACTTTTGAAGAATTGTACAAATATTTGGTTTTTGAACTACCGTTGCCAATAAGTCTGGTTCGACAAATATTTTCAAGTTCGATTTTTGAACAGTTAAATATGCTTGATAGTTCGATTCGATTTTTTTTCATGCCGAGTTCGGATTTTGAACTGAACCGAACATCAAGGATTCGGTTCGGTTCGAGATTCGAACAGTTCGACCCATCACTAATTATTATTATACCATTAGTATTATACTTTTTTTATTATACTGAATTTGTGAATCCTGCGTATGGCATTATTAAAAAAAAAAATTATTGTATTTTATGCATTATAAAAATAATTATTAGTTAATAAACGTTGTATATTCGTATATTTTTATGCTGTTAATTTATGACTCAATCTCCAGGTAGTAAAATGTAAACAAATATTTTTTACTAAGCAGGTACATAAAATGTGGCCCAAATACCGATCACCCCTTAAAACATTCATAAACTAATTCTATTTTGAAAACTATATTGATACTGTTATTTTAAATCTTATTTCCATGTCCATGTAATTTTAATATCAATTCAATATTATATAACATGACTAATATAATATGATATAAACACTGCAGTTGTATTAAGGGCACCTAGAAAATGTATGCAAAGAAAATGTAGTATTTTTATTTTTTCTAGATATTTTATAAATAAATAATAAATAAGTTATACTAAGATTCGTAATAGTTATTACTGTAATAGGTCTAACAAATTTATTTAAATTTATTTTGTCGTATTAAGTAAGAACGAAAAAAAATAATACAAGGATTGTTTAATTATAAAGATATTTATAAATACCATTGCAATCTGTACCTACACACACCAGTAATAGGTACACAGATTTACTTCATCTTTAATTCACCATTTAGCTGATAAAAGAGATTAAAAGTAATTTCTGGTTCTGAAAATGAATTAATAATAAAAGCTTTAAAATTCAAATAAAATCTTAAATACATACTTTTTTTTTTTAATGTAATAGTAAGTATAATAATATAATTACCTCGTGAATAATTAAAGAAAACCTGGATAAAATGTTGAGTGGGTCATGCTGATAATATCAATATTTTTCAAGAAATTTGCTTACAGCGATTTTTAATCAGTCGGTTTATAACATATATATATATAGAAAGGAACTAAATGGTTGTTTAATTAAGAAATATATTATTTATAATTGTTTTATAATTTTGTACTCCTTCTTACTACGGGTATTTATATATATATATATATATATATATATATATAAAATTAATATGGCTAATCTGAATTTTAATGCAACTAATGATATTATTCCGTATATTAAAATAAATTAACTATATATACGAGTGTAATATATGTAGTTTATAAAAAATAAATTAAGTAAAAATAGTTCAACAATAAATAAATTATTTTACAAGTAATTTAATAAATATTTAACAGCTATCGATTAATAAAGTAAAATAAATTTGAAGTTAAATAACAAATGCAAATACCTTTTCTTAATATAAATAAATTTTTATTTAAGGAATAATGAATTAATTAATAAATAAGGATATTTTAAACAGCTCAGTATAACACATAACACAGTGTATGAGTATAATGTAATTAATGATTAAGTATATTTTGAACTTCGAACTAACTAAATAGACGTTCTTATATTAAAATAAAAATTGTATGGATGCAAATACCAGTAAGAAATTCCAAAGAAACTAAATAATTTATTTTAAAAATCAATTGAATCAACTAACATTAATTTAATAAAGAATGGGAGTGCTTCATACCAATTAATGTTAAATTATTTTGAGTATTTATTTTTTTTATACGAAAACATGTATGGTAAAGTAAAGTATTTTTGTGACATAGGCAATTTCGTGATATTATTTGTTGAACGTATAATTTAATTCCATATTACACAATTGACTTGAAAATTACATTGATCCTTAAAAATGCAGTCATTATAATTACATTATACGTTCAACAAATAATATCATGATATTGTCTATGCCACGAAAATACCTTACTTTACCCTATGTAATTAAAATATAATAAAATAATAAAAAATGAAGTACGGTATTATATGCTATTTCGATGAGATTTTAATGGGAAATTTAAATAAATATTCATTAAAAGAGATTACTTTTACATTAAATGAGAATTGGTCAATATTAAATAGAATTACTAAAAGCCACTATCACCTTCATTACTATATTTTTTTAAATAAAATAATATTCATATATTAGTCGTTTTCTTAATTTAAAATTAAACTGTTAAGTCGGAATAATGAAAAAATGAATTATTAAATTGTAAAATAAAAGCATTTTGTATGTTGAAATGATTGAATAAAATTTAATATATTTTACATAAAGAGAGAAATAAAAAATAAAAATAAAAATAAAATGTACGCCTTAAAAAAATAATAACAAAATACTAATAGTTGTTCAGTTTAGAGGTAAGATTTTACTTACATTAATTTTGTAATCAAACGGAAAAAGTATAGATATTTTTATTTAATTCCATTAAAATAATCTAAAACTGACAAAATATTGTTGAAAAATGAAATATACATTCGTATATGCACATATAGATGTATCCAATTATAAGACATAAATAATGAAAATGTTCATGATGGAATTTATCTATACTGGAATATATTTTCAATAATATTTATTTATATAATATTTTTAAATTTGGCTTAAATACAATATATTTCATTCAAAATAATTGTACGAACAATTTATTAGTTTTAATAAACACTCTAAAGACACATCTAGTAAACATTTTTTTTTTTTTGTTTAGGACACATGCAAATACTTTTGACATACAAGCTAAAAATATCAGTAATCTGTAATCGATTGCACGTGTCACACAAAACTTTTGGAACGTGTTTTTTATTCTAAATATGGTTGAAGCAAAATACATAATACATACATGACTATATAATCAATAGCTTTCTTGTTCTTTTCAGAATACACAATCTTGTAATCTAATTAAAGTACGAAATACGGAAAAGCAATATTAAATACCAACAGAAAAATGTACGAACAATTAAAAATATTGAGAAGTTATGTAGAAAAACTTTAATTTTGAATGAATGTAAAAAAAATCGGAACTTACATTTTACTAAAATATGAATTTATGTTCAACTAATAATGGAGTTATACATGGAGATCTACGTTTAGGTAAGCTAAGAAGATAAACCAAAATTTGAGTATTGAATAACAACATTAAAAATTATTCGTATGTACTTATTTTCGGTAAATTTCATTTGATATTAAATTTATTTCAAGAATTGTAAAATTATTTTTATTAACATTTAAAAGCGTGAAATACTGAACCATTATTTTATTATTAATGTAGTTTGTAATTTTATAATTAGATTTAAGAAGTTATGTATTTACTGTAAATCATAAGAATCATAAGGTAGTTTCTGAAACGATAACTTTTTGTGTTATATGTATTAGTAAGTTACATTTAAATAATATAAAACCTTTAAATACATGGCATACATAAATAGACATGAACATAATATTAAACTATTCCTTTCAATAATATCAATACCTACTTGAGAAGTATTTAAAAAGTCAAAATATTAAAAATAAATAAACAATTATTTTCAGTTATGTTACTACAATTATATTTTAATAATAATTTCTAAAATGTAATACATTTTTTTATGATTCAATAAAGTAATTTTTTTGATACTTGTAAAAACGAACATTTTTTTCATTTATTAACATTAACTTATTGCTTTTTAATATAATAGAGCTTTAGTGTATTAATATAACTAAACACAATTTGTAGATATTTAACCCTCTCTTATAAATTTAAATAAAATAGCTTGTAATTATTTTAAAAGTAATTTATTGAAAAAATACCAGTAAATGTAACATATTTTTTATATTGAAAATGCAGTAGAATAGTTAATAATATTATTTTAATTATACTTTTTGTAAAATATATGCACAATAAATTAAAATTTGACTCGGATAAAGAAAAGAAAAAAGAAGAAAAAAAGAAAAAAAAAGAAAGAAGGCAATAATATGCTGCCAAGTATATTTTATTCCATTGCCCATTAAAATATTTAAACATATTTAGGTTAAATTTATTTATTTATTTTAGATTCTGAGTGGATCACATAATGTTTGGTATTCAAATGATATGATTTTTTTTCCTATTTCTGTCTATACAATTTTCACCAAAAGATTACTCCGATCGTGATAGTCAAAAGAGAGTTATGTTAGGAAATGCTGTTTAGTAAATACTTTGATGGGTTATTTTATAAATTACATCACAGTTTTCTAAATAGTTTTGGAAAAATAACGAACAATTATAAACTCAATGGTAAGATTAACGGCATAACGGTTTTTGTTAAAATCGAATTTTCTTTTCATCGTGACACAAAAATTAATAATTGTAATGACGTGAAATTTTCACTGACCTTACCGTTTTTTATACATCAATAAATTTTTAGGTATTTATAAAAAATTGAAATTTTGATGTTTTTTTAGCTTGTTTTCAAAGAAGTTGATAAAATAATTTTAGTTTGATAAAAAGTCTTGAAAACGTAATGGGTACAAATTTTTTTTTAAATTTATAAATATTTTTTGCTAAAAAATGGAAAATAATTCTACAAAATTTAAGGATATCGAACAATTGAACACTTAAAATTAACAAAGAACTTACCGCTATGACCCAAAAGACCCCCAAAAATGAATACGATTGAGAACGAATTTATGGTAACATTGCCATATCATTTATTATTTATCATATAAAAAATATTCTCGAAAAAAGTCATATGTAAAATAATTATGTTTAAAAATATGTAAAAAATGTAGAATTATGAAAATATGTAATGACAAATGAGTTACCTACAAATTAGTTATAGCGGGAAAGCGTATTCCAACATACTCTAAATATTTCTTGGGTCCTTACGTTTCCGAATAAAACGATATTTATTACTATTTAATTATAGATCTTCACCTCGTTCACTTTATATAATTTTAATTTAATTATTTTCAATTATTGACAAATATATGCAACGTAATATATTTTATAAACTGACGAATACTTCGTTTTTTAGCGACGACTACAATGCTTGTAGGTATCTCATATAGGTATATGGTATTTAAGTTACAAATAACATTCGGATCAACGTCTGATAAATATCAATCGAATTAATGGTTCAGCCAAAAGGTATAAGATGAAGTTATGTTCATCAAATTGACTGATCCATAAACCAATGCCAATATTTTGCAGATTAACTACAAATTCGTCTTATAGTACAAGCAATAATAGATTTATGAATTTAATTTTATATATATTTTATTCACTGTTATAATAATAATGAATAATATAATATAATTAATAACTATTATCACCAATTCAAGGCAATTAATTAAAATAATTTAACAATATTTATAAGGGAATGGAAAAAATATCGCCTAAAAAAAGATTTTTTTTGTTTTGGTTCAATATACCAATTGCACTATTCAAATTTGCCTACCTTCAGATATGAAAATATTGTTAATAAAATTGATTTATTATTGTAAAGAAGTTTAAATTTGAATTATAATATAACTAGTATAACTTCAAATTTGATTAAATAATAATAAATAAATAAATGATTAAAAAGTAACTTTTTAAATGTGAAGAAAAAAAAATATACATTTATTTATACAGTATAAAGTATTTATAATCGAACAAAAATCGATTAGTGTATTCACTTATTATATAATTATAACTAATACGTTTTCTTTGGGTATTGTAAAATGTTTTAAGTGCAATTGGTATATCGACCTTAAACGTTTAGAGCGCAAATAGTATATGAATAGGTCATTTTAAGTGCAATTGGTAAACTTCCATTTAAAAATTTACTTAGAATAGATAAAAAATAGAAAAAAAATAGAATGATTTAATTAAGTCTAAAGCTAATCTAAGCTTTAATCTTAAACGTTCAAACAAAACTGTATTAAAATTCGGTTAATTTATTGATTTGAAAGATTGTTAAATTAACTTTATAATTTTATCAGTGAAAAATGAAATGAAAGTTGTTGTATACAGTATAAATAATTTAAAAATTCATGTTATAATAATCACACAACAGTCGGGTATAAAATAGCAATATCGATTATTAAATAATTGGTTAAATCATGGTATAAATAAACATTTTTTTTTTTTTTTTTATTAAAAACATTTAATAAAAATGGATTGTGGATTAAAATAATTAATGACAAAAGTGCCACACTATTTAGATCAATTAAAAGAGTTTTCGTAAATATTATGAGGTTCAGTTTTAAACCAATTAAATTTTTAAAGACATCATTAGACTTAAATTAATATTATTGGATTTTCAGTGAAAACACACTGCAATATTAAACTATTTTATAACTCCTATTTAGCTATCCAGCAATAGATAATTTTAACCAGAAAAAGTGTTTGAGTAACGTAACGTAAAATTTCTGACAGACCGACATTGTGGATCTGATCATTATATGATTACTGTTATTGTGAGAAACAACGTGTTGAGAATGAAATTGAAAAGAATTTAGAGAAGAAAAATGACCTTTTAAAATCCGAAAGAAACATAAAAATGGTTTTAAAATCTAACACAATAGGAAAGTGGTGGATTACAACTTAACATTCTACACATGCGAAATCTTTATAGTTTCCTTAACTATTAAATTTAATGAATATAACAAAAGTAAAGTTTTGAGCATTGCAAAAATGTTACTTCATTCATTTATTTTTTTATATACTCACTTGAGCCCCAATCATGCCCTTTTTAAGCCGTGGTATATCAGTTTGAGACCAATTACTCTTCGACCACGGTTCTACGGTCGTCAAGTCTGCAGAGAAATTAAAATACATCAGCTGATTGTGTACAAACTTCCGGATATTCCACGGTAGATCGTTGTGCCTGGAAAATAAATGAATGCTAAATTGTAATGTCTTGTAAATACCAGTGAAAACGAATAACAGAATAATTTTAACAGTTATCTCTATAAACGTTTAATCTTTATAATTCCATAAATCTTATTTCTTATTTATTTATTTATTTTTTTTAATTTGAATTTAACGGGTTTGACAATCCAATTACATAAATGGTATTAAATATACAGTGTTAACTAGTATATAGTATAGATTTTTTGTATATAATATAGATACAAATTAATAAAAATATAATTTTACCTAAAATATATAGAATCATAGATAATAGTGAAATGAGCTCAAAACAAAATAATGATGACTTATATTAACTAGTGATTACATTTATTTAGATGAAATGTTGAAAGTACAATTTAAATATTGTTTAAAGGTAAATAGTTATCGAAAAATTCTATATTTTATATATTAAATAAATACATAACTCGAGAATTGGATAGTTCAACGCATATTTTGTTTGATGAGTAAAAGTATAAAATATGACAGTAGATCTAATGATCCGTTATGGAACTTCTGCTGTGTGATAATGCTACTGTTAAGAATATTGAATAAAAATCATAATTCAAGTTTTATTCTACGTAATTCAAGGGAGCAAATATTGAAAAGATTCAAAATCGGAGTATAAAAAGTTTAAGGAATGCGAGGAATATTACAGCGAGGATGCGATAACAAAGAAAACTTCAACATTTATTTTGAACAGCTTCTAATGATTGTTTATGTTTTAGATGATAAGAAGACCAAAGCGTAGAACAATGGCTTAGTGTGTTGAGGTTAATAAAATTATCACAGGAAAATGGTATTAATCCAAACTAATTTAAACATTTGTTTTTTTTTTTAATAATTCATATGAGCATCAAATGTCAGTTTATGTATCAAAGAAAATAGCAAGATCTTTGACACGTTATACGAACATCTTATTCTAGAGGTTCATTATATATTTAGTAAATATTAGGTATGTTAGAACGAAAATAATCAAAGGACATAAATTTACATTTAATTTCATTCAAAACAAGATTGTGGTGGTTACACTATTTAGAGAATGAGTTTAGATCAGATTGAAGATGATTAGCATCATTTGAGGATTTTATGATATGAATATTTTTTTAATCATCGGCTAACAAGAATATATTTTGATAAGAAAAAGAAATTTCGTTTATATATATATATATATATATATATATATATTATATATATGAGAAAAATTATAGAAGCTAGATGAGAACCTTAAGATACACCAATAATTTGTGGAAAAGAATAAGAATAATAATTTTTATATTTAACAATTTGGGAACGATTAAAAATATATAAAAATAGCTGTAAAAGCAATGGTTCACAAATACCAAAAGTTTGGAGTTTATTTTTTAAACTTATGTTATTAACTGAATCAAAGACTTTAAAAAGATCAGTGAAGATTACGTGAGCTGATAATCATTATTAAATTTATAAACTGAGTAAGAACTAACAAATATATTAATTTATTATTTATTTTTAATATTAATTTCAACTTAATAAATTTGTTTAGAAATACCACGTTTTATACATAAAAAATGTGTTATTTGATCTAGTTTACAAAGAATATGTATTTTAATTGGAAATAGCAGAAGACGAAAGTCACCTATTCTTAATAGCTTGTGTTTTTTCAGCACGATCGATTTTACTTAGGAAACTGTCAACACTTAAATAAGATTCAAAAATAAGTATATACTAGCAAAATTTTACCCATATTTTTTATTCTAAACAAATAAAACACTTTAAAATCAAAAAAAATTTTAAACGCCTCAAACAAATACAAAAGGCTTTACATATGATTAGTTTGATACTTTTTTGTTTGTTTATTTTTTTGTAAATTTTATATAAAATAATTTTTTTTATAAATGTATTTATTTTTTATCTAGATATAATATAATTATTTTTTATCTTTTATAAAGAAAATTTTAGTTAAATTTATTTTTATCTTTTTCTAGATAAAAAAGTATGCATCTGGGATGAACTTTATACATTAATGTCGTTTTATTAATTTAAATTAATTTTCTGTTTTATTCTTATATTTTGTTAACAGGGATCAATTATTCTAATGGAATAATATTTTTAAACTTATTATTAAGCTCTGAGTTGAATTTTGCAATAAAATAGTCAGTAAAAGGAATATAAATAGTAATTGTAAATCACTCTTCAAGATTTGATGTTTTAAAGTTATTAATTTTTGTTTTACGACCACACACACCCTAAGATTTTTTATTTTTTCTCAAATTTTTTATGCTACTACAGATGCATTTTTAAAATAGTTTGAAAAATGTTCATCATTAAGTATTTACTACATACTAATATAAGTACTTTATAATACATCCAAAACGAGGGAGGTTAAAGCTCCTTAGTCGCCCCCTTCCTTGGATCCGCGCCTGATCATGTCTGGTATGAAATACTTCTCCATAAATTTATTTTTTACTACTTCATTTACTCCATTATACCTCACTTTAAAATCTTTTTTTTCATAAACCGCTACTTTATGGTATGATGTGATGAAGAATATTATAATATTTATCCTAGGTATAACAGTAGGAGTCCCATAAGCCAGTATTCTTACACCTACACTATATAATGTATATATAGCTGATCTATCACAGTCAAATAACACCAACTTAACTATTTTTGATGTCGATACTGCAATAACCTCATTTAGCCCTGACTTAGAATGTGCCATAATAAATCATCAAGATCACCTAATCAAATTACATAAGTGGTTTAACTTATATAAAATAAAAATAAATGAAAGTAAATCCACGTATATCACCTTTACTCTCAGGCCAACAAATATCCCTCTTTTTTGTTTTTATCAACCATAAAATAATTTCTATGGATACTCTGCCAAGTATCTAAGTCTCAATCTAAATAAAAGGCTGACTTGTGTGACCATATAAAAATAAAATAAAAATCTTTAAACCTCAGACTTTACAAACTAGGGCAACTACTCCTTCAAAAATGTCAGTATGTTAATTTATAAGCAATTAATACGCTTTGCTTTGACGTATGACAGAGGTATTCAAACTGTGTGTCGTGGCTTCCTGAGTCGTCATGAGAATTAGCAAAGGGAACTGCTTTTAAGAACCGGAAACCAAAGTTAATGTTATATATACATTATATATATATATATATATATATATATATATATTTGAGTGATTATTGAAGTGATAACGAAACACACGTAACTATTTAAAATTTTATTTTATAAGACTTAAGTCATTATTTTTATCACTCGTATTGTATCCGTTAAATATAGAGAAAACTCAAAAATCAAATTGGATTAAAAATCCCTTCATTGCTGTTCCTTTAACGAATTTACCATCTATCGTACAAGAACAATGGATCGATTAGTCAGATTCTAAAATTTTCGTAACATAGTACTTAATCCAATTTTGTAAGCATGTGAAACTAAAATTTACAAAATTTCCAAAAAAAACTTCTACTTTATACCCGCTTGAGACTAAATTTTCTACGTTAACTGGGATTAAAGCAAAATATGCCATACTTGGCATTTAAGATTAAAATGAAGTTGAAATGAACGCTATGTAGCTACGTAACTGTCATTATTATTGTAAAACGATTTTATCGTATAAGCACGTTGTCCACCATTCCAATATTCCATGTTTACTAAATGACATGTTGTCTTTCAACTTATAATATTTAGTAAGAATTCTTATATTAATTACTACTGAGAAAATTTATCCTTGAAAATCGGCCGTTTCAGTGCCCCACCCTGTATTATACGTATACAGATTGTATGATTTTCAATATTTAAATTCGTAAAAAAAAATTAATCAACCAAATGAACGATTCCGGTTTTCTATATGTTTATTCTGTCTTTTTATATATTAATATATACTGTAGATATTGAAATAAATATTTATTTATATCTATAATTTTTTAACCAATTACGTGTTATTAATTATAATAATTATAATTTGATCGCTATTAAAATAAATAAAAACAAATTATTCATTATTTATTTTAAAACTTTTTAAACTAAAAATAATATTGTTCAATTAGGTCAGGCATCCAATAATTTGGTTGTTATTCAAATCTTTTTATAATAATTTAAATATATAACGAACGTTGTTAATACAATAATAAAAAAATTTTACAATAGAAATTAAAAGAAAATCTTAAATTTATTATAATAATTTTTTTTAACTATATTATTGAATGCGTAACAATATTAAAAACTTGTATTTGAGTACTCTGTTTTTAAGTGCATACGAATATATTTCAATAATTTTAGTCGCCAAACGTTCCAAACCCTGCTTATTATGATGTCTGATGCAAAATCAATAATTTATATTTTTATGTACATAACCATCACCATTTTAAGTAATATTCAAACTTTTTAAAATAGTAAATAAAGAATAAAATAGATTGATTTCTAAAGAAATGAATGAAGAAATATTTTGGATAAGTTGATCGATTCAATTCATTCATAATAAAAAATAAAATAGTGTTTGACCAAGGTATCAAAATAGTATACTGTAAGAAACTAAACCTATATTTTAATAATCTTTTTCATATCGATTATTATGAAATGGTATTTCGAAACTTTATAAATTAAAGCTTTAAACAGAAATAAAAACCTTGAAATATTTTAATAATCTAAAAGTCCAAACTGTTTTTGAAAACAATATTTATTTGTATAGTACCTATATAAACTTGTAATTAAACGTATTATAATTATTTTTGTTTATTCTAAATATTTGATATTTTACTTAACCAATATTTCAATAATTATCTTTTTTATTATTGTTCACATATTCTTAATTGCACATAGGTACAATACTTAGATATTATAACTATTATGTAATATTATTCTAAGTATATAATACTTTTCTCTAACAGTAAAGCGTTTTGAGCAAATTAGAAGTCTTATTCATTTTAACGATAACACTACTACATATCCTAAAGACCATGAATTATATGACAGACTCC